TGCTGCTGCTGCTGCTTGGGGGCTTGGTAGGCTGCTCGCCCGCAGCTCTGTCCTTCGACTGAGGCTTCTCTGTGTATGTATATGTTGTGTTTAACATTAAGAATTTAATATTTCTTCTTTTGCTGCTGTTCCTGCTGCTGCTGCTGCTGCTGCTGTTGCTGCTGTTGCTGCTGCTGCTGCTGCTGCTGCTGCTGTTTGACACTGCACGTTCGCTGCTGCTGCGCCAGTGCAGCAGCAGCCGCGCTGCTGCTGGGGGCTCAGCCGCCCCACACCGCCCCGCAGCAGCCGCAGGCCGCTGGGTGTGGGGCTGGGATCGTCGATCCCCAGGGGGGAGAAAACACCACACGCAGCAGCAGCAGCAGCAGCAGCGGCAGCAGCAGCCTCTGTTTGTAACCAGTGCATGCGCATGCATGCAGCTGAGTAGGAAAGGCTGAGCTGTCTGTACACCGCAAGGGCTACAGCAACGGCTGCTGCAGCAGCTGCTGCAGCAGCAGCAGCAACACAGACACAGACACAGCAGCAAACAAATATACACATCACCTTCTCGAGTGCTGCTGCTACAGTGTAACCGCAGCAGCAGTGCTGCTGCACCTTAGCTGCAACTGCTGCTGCTGCTGCAGCAGTGCTGCAGCAGCTGGCGCTGCTGCAGAGACAGACCTATGCCTGTCTTTTGTCTTGTCGCTCGCCTAGCTAGCTAGCTAGCTAGCCAGCTAGCTAGCTAGTCGCCTAGCCAGATAGCCTAGCTAGCCATGTGTCTGTATGTCTAGCTAGCTAGCTAGNCTAGCTAGCTAGCTAGACAGACAGACAGACAGACAGGCAGATAGACGCTTAGCTAGCTAGGTCTGTCTAGCTAGCCAGTAGCACCTTTCCAGCTAGCTGTTGGCTAGCTGCTGTCATCTAGCTAGCGAGTAGCTGCTGCTGCTGTGGCCCTGCAGCAACCAGCTTCTCCTCTGCTGCATGCGCATGCAGTCTGTCTGTACACCCCAACCAGCCCCGTTTCTCTAAAGGCCCATTTGCTGCTGTTGCTGCGCTTGCTGCAACTGAGTAGCTGCCAGCTAGCTGACAGCTAGCTGACAGCTAGCTAACAGCTAGCTGACAGCTAGCTAACAGCTAGCTGACAGCTAGCTAATACCTTGCTCCAAGCTAGCTATGCGCTAGCTAGCAGCTAGCTGCAGGTAGCTAGCTGACAGCTAGCTGCAGGTAGCTAGCTGTCCGTGGCCTCGCTGCAGCAGCTGTTGTGGCTGTCTGTACAAACCCGGTGCACCTCCCGCACTGCACATGGAGCCCGATTCACCCCATACTTAGCTAGCTAGCTAGCTAGCTAGCTAGCTGGCTAGCTAGGTAGCTAGCTAGCTAGCTCTAGCTAGCTAGCTAGCTAGACCTCTCCTGCTGCCTGCCGCTACACCGCACCAACCCGCGGAAGTGCGGGTACGCAGCAGCTTCCCTGCAGTTGTAGCTGCAGCTAGCTGTGTCTAGCTAGCTAGCTAGCTAGCTGTAGCTAGCTAGCTGTAGCTAGCTAGCTAGCTGTATACGTGTTTATCTATTATAACACTATCACTGTCTCCCTTCATTTGTCTGTCTCTCTGTCTCTCTATCTGTCTCTCTATCTGTCTCTTTTTTTCTCTCTCTCTGTCTCTCTGTCTCTCTATCTGTCTCCTTTTGTCTGTCTCTCTGTCTCTCTCTGTCTCTCTATATCTGCTGCAGCAGCTGCTGCTGCTGTCTTACAAAACAAAATGCAGGAGAAAAGAGAGACAGTCTGTCGCCTGAAGTAGATTCTGCTGCTGCTGCTGCTGCTGCTGCTGCTGTTGCTGCTGCTGCTGCTGCTGCTGCTGCTGCTGTTGCTGCTGCTGCTGCTGCTGCTGCTGCTGTTGCTCGCACTGCAGCAGCTGCTGCTGCACAGCATTTGTATATCGCCCCCAAAAGCAAATTTTTAGGGGCAGCTCGCAGCAGGTATCAGCAGCAGCAGCAGCAACGGCGGCAGCAGCAGCAGCACCAGCAGCAGCAAAGGCCTTTGCTGCTGCTGCTGCTGCTGCTGCTGCTGTTGCTGCTGCTGCTCTACGGGCCCCCAGTGCCCTTCCAATGAATTCCCTGTGATGCGCTGCCATCCGAGAAGGTGTGTAAGCCTGCTGCTGCTGCAGGTGCTGCTGCTGCTGCTGCTGCGGGTGCTGCTGCTGCTGCTGCTGCAGCGGGTGCTGCTGCTGCTGCTGCTGTAGAAAATCCCCCAGAGGCCAACTGTGCAGGGCCAGCAGCTGGTGCTGCAGGGGCAGCAGCAGCAGCCGGAAGAGCCGTCAGCGTCCCTACTGGTTTTGCTGCTGCTGCTGCTGCTGCTGTTCCTGCTGTTGCTGCTGCTGCTGCAGTTGCAGGTGCTAGTGGAGGTGCTGCTGCTGCTGCTGCTGCTGCAGGCCGCCGCGCGGCTGATGCTGCATCCGGGTGTAAGCCAATCGCTGCCCTATGTGAACCTGCTGCTGCTCCTGTTGCTGTTCTGGGTGGAGCAACAGCAGGTGCTGCTGCTGCTGCTGCTGCTGTTGCTGTTGCTGCTGCTGCTGCTCCTTGAGGGGTTGAAGCAGCAGACGAGCTGATGGCCCTATACCCCCCCCGAGGAGGCCCAGCTACAGAGGAGACAGCAGCAGCTGGCGTTGCTGCTGCTGCTGGTGTCCTTGCTGCAGCAGCAGCTGGCGTTGCTGCTGCAGCTGGTGTTCTTGCTGCAGCAGCAGCGGGCGTTGCTGCTGGTGTTCTTGCTGCAGCAGCAGCGGGCGTTGNGTTCTTGCTGCAGCAGCAGCGGGCGTTGCTGCTGGTGTTCTTGCTGCAGCAGCAGCGGGCGTTGCTGCTGCAGCTGCGGTTCTTGCTGCAACAGCAGCGGGCGTTGCTGCTGCTGCTGGGGTTCTTGCTGCAGCAGCAGCGGGCGTTGCGGCTGCAGCTGCGGTTCTTGCTGCAGCAGCAGCTGGCGTTGCTGCTGCAGCTGGGGTTCTTGCTGCAGCAGCAGCTGGCGTTGCTGCTGCAGCTGGGGTTCTTGCTGCAGCAGCAGCGGGCGTTGCTGCTGCAGCTGGGGTCCTTGCTGCAGCGGCAGTCGTTGCTGCTGCTGCTGGAGTTCTTGCTGCAGCAGCAGCTGTCGCTGCTGCTGCTGCTGGGGTTCTTGCTGCAGCAGCAGCTGTCGTTGCTGCTGCTGGTGTTCTTGCTGCAGCAGCAGCTGGCGTTGCTGCTGCAGCTGGTGTTCTTGCTGCAGCAGCAACTGCTGGTGATGCTGCTGCAGTAGTTGCTGCTGCTGCTGCCTTGGACGGGCCGTTTGCACTCCTGCTGCTGCTGGCGCCTCTAGGCGACACAGCAGCAGCAGCAGCAGCAGCAGCAGCAGCACGGTGGCCTCCAGCAGCGCAGGGGCTCGCAGACCTTTCTCCTAGCAACCCTCCACGGCTGCCGTGCTGCTGCTGCTGCTGCTGCTGCTGTTGCTGCTGCTGCTGCTGCTGCTGTGA